GGGGTGGCAGTCATGGGGAAATGCTCGCAGGAGAGAGCGAGAGAAAGAGAGCATAAAATAAGGGAGGGGGCACGAAAGAAATCGCGAAAAGGTCACGAAGCGGGAAAAGAGAGGGGATAGAACGCGCGAGGACATTCAAATTTATGGTAATGCTCGACCGCTCGGACCCGCGGGGTTATCGATCTTGGTGTCTCTTTCTTTCTCCCTCTCTCTCATTGTTACCCCGTCGTTATTATTAATATTATTCCTCTTATCGTTATTCTCGTACTGCGTCGCTCGGACACACGGAGGATCAATCGCGGATCGAGTGAGATTTTACAAAACGAGCGACCGAAAGGATTTCATGAATATTAATGTTACTCTCGCCAGAAATTATTATAAATTATATATATAAATTTTATAAATAAATCGTAATTTATAAATAATAACAAATAATTTATATATAATATATAATATTTATAAATTTTATTTATAATTAAAATTTATATAATATATATTATATGTTATAATATAATTTACATTTATAAATTATATATAAATTATTTATATTTTAATTATATATATATATATATAAATTAAAATTACAAATAGTGTTACATGATAATCCATATGATATCACTGGTGCGAAAGTTTTGTCTGAAAAAATAAAACAAAAGTCGCTGATACAAATTTCACATTGTTACGTCGACGGAAGAGTGACGGTGAAAATCTGTCGCTAAATAACACATCTCTCTCTTTGTCCTCGAAACACGCCGGTATTCCGATGTTTATATTCTCACGCGTTTCTCGAATCGAAACAATTTGGCGGCAGATTTGCTCGCGGTGAATTTATACGTACGTTGCACATAGCCGCGTGAGATCCCATATTTCTTGTCAAATGATATAGCACCGTTGTTATATGGCCGAGTCATGTAAACTTCGCTCGCTTGCATCTGCCCCATCGGCGCCGCGTGGTAATACGACTCAAGTGGAATACACCGATGGTACTCGCGAGAGGGAGAACGCAACCGAGGGAGGAAGAAGAGTGATGAGGAGAGAAAGAGAGAGCGAAAATAAAAGAAAGAGAACCGACACGTTATGACTTTATGGCGTTATATCCTGTCACGAAAATTGGTGGTCCTAATCCTTTGTCTTATACCGTTGCGGCCGCCGCGAGAAGATGAGTTTTTGTTGCCCAATTTATGGTTGTTAGGATTTTTTAACATACGGCAATATAGCCGTGCACACGAGGGCGATCGTAGTATTATGAGCTAAGAAAAAAAAGCTGTTTATCACGCAACGTGATGACTGAACCGGTGGAGGATCATCTGCGTACGAGGGAATTAAGAAACTTACCGTAATTCCTTGATGCATCTGCTCAAATATACTTTTTCAATTATTGTATATGTAATAGAATGTACATTTTGAAATACAAGGTTTTAATTGACTACTCCTAAAAATCTTTTTATTTTTAATTGTGCAACAAAATGCTTCGGACGAATACTTTTCAAGGTCATTTAAAGTCTTTTTTTTTAATGGAACTGTAATTTTTTAATATAAATCAATTCCTCCCAATTTACAGCGTGAAAAATTATAAGGCTGCGATGGCTAAAAAATTATAAAATTTTCCCCCCCTTCTAATCAAATAATTTTTGTCCAAAGAATTTTGTTGTACAATTAAAAATAAAAAAATGTTTGCGGGTGGTCAATTAAAATCTTGTTTATATAATTCAAAATGTACATTCAATTATTAAGAAAAAAAATATAAAAGTTATATATCTATAAAAATTCCTCATGTTTTTTTTCTTTCCTATAAAAAAGAATAAATGACGTCAATTATTTTTGCATACATAAGAAAGTATCTAGATCCGTGGAAGGAGTCTCTCACGCTATTTCAGAATTTTACATCACTCTCGTTGCTCGAATTTTAATCCTCGATGGCCGTGCGTGCCGCAAGTGCGTGTCTGTTGCCAGCAGACCGGAAGGACGCGGGTCAGGTGAGAGCGTCGTCTCCCTCGGCGAGTCTGGGGAGTCTGGGTGGTCTCGTTTTAAGGTTCGAGGATTTTTATTATAAGCAAAAACAAACCGCCTTTTTATACTCCAGGCTTTTTTAATGCTTAATCGATCGATACGTTTCATCGCGCCACCCTTTTTTTATTCAAATAAAGAATCGCTACGCGGCTGCCACGTGCGATTTATGACAGCTGTCAAACGGACACCGATTTTAGAGTAACGTGGATATATATATATATATATATATATATGTGTGTGTGTGTGTGTGTGTGTGTGTGTGTGTGTGTGTGTGTGTGTGTGTGTGTGTGTGTGTGTGTGTGTGTGCGCGTATATATGTATATATGTATGTATATCGGAACTTATTCCAATATTTATCGTCCCCTTCCTGGTTCCCTGAAAACTTTAACCGGCTGCAAACTACCGAGTAAAGTTTACCCTCTCTCCGGAGGAAGAGGGATAGAGAGTAGCGCGATTCATTGTCCCTCCCTCTTTCTGCGCCCGCCCGGAGAACCATGTATTTTCATTGAAACTCCTCCACCCACCCCGCGAAAGTACCATTGTTCGAATATTCAAAACGGAGACGTCCATTGTGGTACGTTAGAATAGGCACAATGTGGATCCTGTGTTGCGGGCTTTTGCGCGCGTGCTGCGACTTACAACTCGTCGTCCGTGACTTTTCTCTTTTTTCAAATCCGCACGATGCCGAAAATAAAGGCCCGGGTGGGATTTCGCAAACAGGTTGCGCGCATTGTTGCGATACACAACGCGGTCGAATTTTTTGAACGGTGTCGATCGTCCCACGAATTGATGCCTGTCGATCTCTCCTTGTACGGAATGCGTCAAGACTGAGGACGATTTATCGAGTCAGGAATGTCGAAACCTGGGTTTCTCTTTGGATCTCGACGTGGTCTCTTTATTCACAAAAATTCGCAAATAGCCGGAGGAAAGTAACGCTGCGATTGAATAACGTGTTGTTATAATTGAGGTAGAAGAAAAGTATGATGCGTGGAACAGAATAATCTTCCTTTTAATGTAATACTTGAATTTATAATGCGATAGACAATAATATTAATAAAATAATAATAATAATAATAATAATAATAATAATAATAGCAATAATATTGTCGAAATATTTTTTTTAATAATAATAGCAATAATAATAATAATAATAATAATAATAATAATAATAATAATAATAATTATATATATATATTCTGTTTATATTCACATTCAGAGCTATGTACAGTTTAGTTACTTTACAATCGAAGTACGAACAAGCGAATGAAACTTGGTAGTCCTATATATAGTATACCTGTATCTCATTATACCTGTACTATATTCACAACAAATAGATTCTCTCACGAGGGTGCGACAATGTACACAAAACGTGCATTTTATATATATTTATATATATATATATATGTATATATTTATATGTAATATATTTATATTTTTATTTACCCTTCGCCATTGTTAATTATCATTCGCGCAAAGTGGTACACTCGACCCTCGTTTTCTCCGACTCTCTCACTCTGTCTCTCATTCTTTCTTCACTATTGATTATAATATTTACAGAAAAAACATTATCGTATCTATATAATTATACTATGATATACGTGTGTCAGCAAATGCACGAGCACCGAACGTCCTCGTCAAAGTATACCGCGAACGCCTTGTATAAGTGTGTGTGTGTGTGTGTGTGTGTGTGTGTGTGTTGTTTCCCCTTCTTCTTGTCTTCTTTTTTTACTTTCCCCTCCACATCGAATTCTCTCTCCCGTTTTATCACAGATAAATAAATGTATTCTTTACAAAACAATGTACAATGTTCCATTCGATGCATCCTCGACCGTGACTCTCTTTCTTTCTCTCTTGTTTACATTTACGCGCCAAGGTACAAAATAATAAACTTCTTTCTTTTTCTTTCTCCCGTTTTTTTATTCTTTTGCTTTTTTATTCTTCTCCGAAACGCGACAGCAAACTCCTCGAAAAAACGAACGTAATATAAAAAAAGGTATCAACAATTTCAAGCACCGTGCACGTCGCATTTCGATCTCTCTCTTAATTTACGCTATACGCATTCGCGATGTGACTCGTGTTATATTATATATATATTTTGTACAACTTCTCGAAAACTATTATAAAAAAAAAACCTTCTCCGTCCCCCTTAAAAGTAAAAAAAGAGAAAACATTTACACGTTAATTCGCGACTAATTAAGCAACAAGAACTTAAAATTGTTCTTAAAAAGAAATTAATAACTGCAAGAAAGATGCAATATAAAATATAGCATTAAACAACAATCGTAAAATATCTATGTAAGGGTGAAAGAAATATATAGTGTTGTACGATCCTCTCCTTTGACTCTTGAGATGCGCGAGTGCACGGTTGAGTCGCGCGAAAAGGGACGAATTTGATCCTTAATTATCTCATCTCTCTCTTTCATCGGCTGATAATTAACATGCATAAGTGTGTCACGTCACATGCAGACTCCACTCGTACGATCCACCCATATACTTATAATGTAGCGATATATACTCTCTCTTTCTCTCTGCAAGATCCTCAATAGTCTAGTAAAATTAAACTTTGACTTCAACAAAATTATAATCAAGCTGAATTTTTGTGGAGACGTTTATTTCGATGTTCTAATAAAAAGTACTCTTAATTTCAGCCAGGGCGTTTTTTATGGGGGGTAAATTGTAGTTTTTTGCCATTATCTCGAAAAGTATCAATTTTTCGAGAAAAATAGTTATTACCAAAATTGTAGCTCATAAAATTCCCTACAAAAACGGTGTGTATACTTTTTTCGTGGAATTAATCGTTTCAAAGATATAGAGCGAATTAAGTCTAAAAGAAAACGTTCACATTACTATAGTATTATGTGTGACTAATTGTGCAGAAAAATTATATTAGAAATATTGCAACTTTGCCGCGCGTTTTACTTAAAAACGATTAGTTGTACGAAAAAAAGTACAAAAACTTTTTTATAAAAAATTTTGAATTACAAGTTGGATAATAATAATTTTTCTCGAAAAATTGATAGTTTTCGAGATAATGGCAAAAGAACTAAAATTTACCTCCTTTTACCCTCCATAAAAAACGTCTTAGCTAAAATTAAGGATACTTTTCAGGATTTTATTAAAACATCGAAATAAAGATCTCCACAAAAATTCAGCTTGATTATAATTGTTTTGAAGTTTCGCTCTTTTCAAGTTTAATTTACTGGACTACGAGACGCGGATAAAATTTCCTGATGTGGTAGATACAGCCTTAAGATCTACGGCCTAAAGATACTTGCGCGTGTCATCGTGTGTGTAATGCGTAGGTGTATTATTTATCATTCCGTCTCTCTATATATGCGGGTATTCGGGTAGGTATATGTTAATATTTCATTCGGATAATTGAAGGAGTTAGTGGTAAGTTTAACGATAGAGTAGAGCTTTGTAATGTATATAATCTGTCTTTCCTTTTTATTTATTTATTTATTTATTCTTTGCCTTAAGCCTACAACAGGTAGATCAACTTCCTCCTTTTTTTCTCTTTCGACGATATCGCGCAACTATAATGTGATAGAAACTTCGTCGAAATCTCTTGGCTGAATTATGAGGGATTTCGTGATGCGACGATCGTTTTAAGAAATATATATACTGTTAGATGCAACTTCGTAATGAGAAAAAAGTGCTACTTTGCACGTTGCCCGTGTGAAAAAATGCATTATTTCCGCGAAACGATCCGCCTTTCCATCAAAGATGTATATATGTATATCCTTTATTTACAGAATCGACAACTCCAAGAATTCGTCTTCGTAGAAGACGCTGAAACATTAATTAAAAAAAAAATAAAAATTTGTAATTATACATGTATCTGGTAAACGCACGTGTGTATGTGTGTGCGTGCGAATATGTGAAAAAACGATGCACCAATAAACGTCGAGGATGATCGCGGAAAGGTCGTTCGTTGACCAGCCGACCTGATTGACTTGACGGAAGTGTCGTCATTGCTTTCTTAAAATAGATCAGTGGAAATGTCACTGATTAAAACAGATGTGACAAGATTTTAAGTAGCAACAAGAATAGAAAATATAATATTAATAAGATAGTAACAAAGATTTGATCTTAGATAGTCCTTTGAAGGTCACATGAAGGTCACCTTCAATTTCCTTCATGGAACTACTATTTCAATGCATATTCCTGTAGCTTATTTCGAGAACTTTTCAAAGCACTGTAATAAAATATTTTTTTCTTAAGTACTTTTTGAGTTATTAAGGTTTGAAGTTAAACAAATTTCTGACATAAATTGTAAAATATTCAGTTTTCGGTAATTCTTACCTTAATAATTGTTCTTAAAAGCAACTATTATTTGTCTCAATGTCAGTGAAATGTCACCTCTATTTGTGGCTGAATAAACAATAAGGCACCGATTCCATTTAAGAAAGCACATTCCTCCCCCGGATTCCTTAACCTCTCGTCAACCAGATCAGTCGGCCGGTACCGATCGAAAGTATGGCGGCGCTTCTGCTCTCGCAGCAAAGAGGGAAGAGATCTCTCGCACGTCGGACTCTCTCTCTTAAATCCGACGCGCGTATCCCTATACTTTCTTCTTACCCGGCTGCGGTGTCGCTTCGCCGTACGTAGCCGTGCGTAAGCAGGCACTTTGACGTAATTCTCCTAATTCCTAAATCTCCTCTAAGCCGCTTCCTCCCTCGCCAGGCGCGCTTCTGTATCCTCCGTTCCTCTCCCGTCTTCCGCTGCTCTCCCTCGTATGTCTTTTCCTAGTCGCGCGTTTCCAGAGAGGTCGGGGAACGAGATTTATGTATCTCGAAGAGTCGAGCACCTTCCTTCCTTCCTTCCTGTGTGAATGTGTGTGTACATGTATGTGTCTATACTCGCTTCGCGCTTCTTTCTCTCTCGCGAGGTCGAGAGACGCTAATAAATCCCCCGAGACTATACTCTACTCTCTCGGGAGCGCGTGTATTTACAGTCCGGCCGCGGAACTTCCTCGCAGGACCCTTTTCCTCAACGGCGCCGCTTTATCCTGCAACAGAGAAATGGAAATGGTCTTAGAGAGATCGGCGCCGCCATGATTCTTCTCCTTTCCTCTTCTCCCGTAAAGTTCACGGCTAGGAAAATTCGCGTTGCTACCTGGTTATACCATAGACTTAATATTACCTAGTATAGACTTAATAGTAGCGACAGAACATGATCTTCATGGACTCAATTTTTATGACTTTGAGACTAACCGCCATATTGTTAGACTAAAATAGTGGCATTCTTCCCGCGATTCGGGCAATTTGTGGCAGCACAATACGCCCTCGCACTCATTTTACTTGTTATACAATAAATTGTTTGTAAAAAGTTAGTGGATTCGCGTGCTCAACTCATCACCTAACTTGTCACAATACACAACATGCGTCTGAATAGGTTATGTCACTGTGCATATGTTTCGGGTAAGAACATGGCGGCTATGACATGCGCAATGAAAATCAGACCCCAAAATAAATACGAAGTGTCGCTACTATTAATGTCTATACTATGGTTATACCCTGGTTATCGTAAGGGATACGTTTATCGCCATTTTGGAGCAACTCTGATACTTTCGAATCGAGCAATCGTGCTTTACACATTTTACGGTATCAGCTGTCTTTCAACTTTGTCATGAGAACCAATAGTTAAGGTTTATTATATCGAGTGCGTAATTGCGATCTGTTTGAAAAGAGAGAAGAAGGAACGGGTGGTTTTTCCAGGTGCTGACGTATGAACCGACAAGGCGACAATCGCGATTTGCGATAATTAGTCGTTCAATGAGCGAATAACTGGCTTAAGTGGTCGCAATATCCGCAAAAATGCCGCGGTTATTCGTACACTCGTGTGACCTATTACGAATAATAGTCGTGTGAACTATTAATAGTACACGCGTTTACCTTCATAAGGGATCGGTAAATCGCGTGCCTATTGATCGATACTCAATTATTTCGCGCTTTTAATTAATATGTAAAAATTAAAATAATATATAAATTAAGAAATAAAAATTATCGAAAAAAATATTTGATAAAATTTTATTTCAGCTAGAAGATAATTATATAAAAATAAAAAATAAATTTCGGAAAAAAGTAAAAATTTTATAAGAATAGATATATATATTAATTTATTTTAATTTTATTTTATGAAGAATATAATTATTGATGAGAGAGGAATAGGCATTAAAATAAGTTAAAAGAATTCATTAAAAGAAAACTTTGAATTTTTTTAAATATAATATAACAAGATAGAAGATGGAAAAGGGAAAAATATACATATATGTTTCATCTATAATAATATTGTTGATATCCGAATACTTTCGACTGAGAGGATTTTACGAATAATTTCTAGTTATTTACCTGGATTTTTAAGTTTACATTAAATACATATAAAACGTTATAGTTGACAGAAAAAATATAATAATAGTACATATTGTCTAACGGTGACCTCAAATACATCAAAATATAGTACTCGATATAATATTTAAAAAATCCAAATACTGCAATTTTAATATTAGGGTATCTGGATAATATCCATATGGGAATTTGGATAAGAAGTCACCGAAGGTATCCTAGTACTCGAGATAACCTTGTTCATATCGATAGCACTAATTTGACTGGACTTGGATCCGCCATCGGGAAACCTGCTCATTACTTAGTATTGCTACTATTCTCGTGGCTCCCCATAATTGGTAATTCGTGACAACGATTGTGTCAGTGTTAATAAACGATATGCGCCGCACGTGTGCGAGATAAAATGCGATCGTTATGCAAAACACGCTACTCACCCGGCTATTATCGTAACGGGGCACTTATATGCGGCCATTTAATGCGCCCGTAACCGTTCGCGACAATTGTCAACTATCTCCGCGTGACGTATTTCTAGATTGACACGCGATTGATTGCGTAACGAGGAGGATTTTAATGATGGCAAATCCCGGCGTTAGTTAGTTCGAGAGAGATCCATCAGACTTTAATCTCCGAGAGCGCGTAAGAGAGTCTTCGCGCGCCAAGATTTGCGCAAGAATTTTTATCATTAATCGCGATCGCGCGCAGATTGATGATTTTCGCATTTCAAATTGATGAAGTCGGCTCAAGGCGATCGAAATTCCTAGATAACTGGCCATTAACCGGGCTCCAGTGATGGATCGACATTTATATATCGATACTCGATTAGTGTAGCTCTTCCGGTGGACGCGAGTCCGTTATACAATATGCCAATACGATCACTGTATGATCGATATACATTGCTTTTATCGTACTATATGTATGTGAGTATTGCGCAAAATAAACATTTGTCATATTGATCGCAATCGAAACTTCATCGAGACTAATTGCCCTCTTACATGTTGACTCTGACAATTCTTTCGAAGACAATGCTTTGTTCACTTTCACTTTCCACGTGTTTAGAACGTTCACAATCGAAGGACGGTGTCCTTACAAAGATACGGATACTCAAATTGTTAATGTATTTATTTACTATTTATTAATTATTATTAATTTTTTTTTAATATAGAAATTATTATTTTAATCTTAAATGCGCAAATTGAAGAGTTGAATGGATTTCAGGACTTTTTGCAATTGATTTATTTTTGAAAGAAGGATGAATTTTCGTGATATTAATTAGCGATATCTTCAAATTAATCGTGTTTCAATAATATTTACAATAATTATACAGTTAATACATGATGAGATTTTTATATGGCGCACAATAAATCTTTCTGGCAATACATAATTTTCATCTTTTCAATGTATGGGTACGGAAGTATGAATTGGCGATCATTTTCAAATACAAAGACCTTTTATATTTGTTTTTAATGAAGAAAAGTTCCGACACATTTTTAACATATAAAATTGCTTTAAAGATCTATTCATTAATCAAAGAATTATCAGAATTAAAAAGTGATGTCTAAAATGGCCCTTTTGATCAAAAAATTTTGAATCGAATGAGGTACCATTGAAAAGATTTTCAAAAGTAGATTATTATTTGTAAATAAAACTATTTGTAAACTATTATGATATATAAATTTCGACATATCGTGGATCAAAATTCCAATTAAATTACCTAATTTGTTAAACAATAAACATGTTTTTTAATAAAATAAAATATTGCAGTTATTCTTATATCATAATATATGTAGAATAATAAAAACAATATCAATAATAATAACATTTTTAAAAATATTATTATTTTTGTTATAGATAAATACAAGTATTTCATTGGTTCATTATTATTGAAAAAAAAATTTTGTTAGATTAACAAAAATTCTGTTCGAAAATGGACGAAACGGAATTCTGGTTGAATCTACCAGAATTCCTTTTAATACAACAAATATCTTGTTTGCACCAACAAACTGATTTGTTGTACAAACAAGATGCTTGTTGCATTAAAAGAAATTCTGGTAGATGCTTGTTGCATTAAAAGGAATTCTGGTAGATTCAACCAGTAATTCCGTTTCGTCCATTTTCGAACAGAATTTTTGTTAATCCAACAAAATTTTTTTTCCAGTGATACAAATGATGTAAATTATTGTGATGCAATAATCAACAATAACGATAATGTAAATTCTTGTCAAAAAATTGTATTTCTTGAATGAACAGAAGTTGCATAAGAATATGATAGTGCAAATTTTCTTATTACCAACTAACTTCAATGAATTTTAGTTATAAAAAAATCAACTTTGATTATTTTATTGATCCAAAACGATTTATAATAAAAATATATATATATATATATATATATATATATTTGTAAATAATAAAGAAATAGTTTTAATCCGATATCTTTTTCATATTTCTTAAATTCTTCTAAAAAAAGGAGAATTTTCTAAGCGTCACTCTTTTGATATACGTTTTAAAATTCGATCAACTATTGCCTCTGCGAATATATTTGAAAATCCTGTACTTCGAGTTGTCTATTCAGCATCTATTCTGTCGTGCCCGTCTCTCCCTGTTCCTTTTTGCTCTTTCGTTCGCCGAACCGCGAAATGACATCCGCGCTTTCCTGTCGGTCCGGATGACAAATGTCGCGCGATTATGCGGCAAGTCGTTTCGAAAGTTTCTGCAGTGACATCTGGATGTTACATGCACGCGCGCGTTCGGCCACCGCCGCGACAAGCGATAAACATTTATGCGATTATCATTTATACGCTGCGGCTAAAGAGTCGCGTCCCCGTTTCTACTCTTCGTCGTTGCAAAACACTCGAAGCGATCTATCTGGATGATAAAAAAAAGTTTTGCTTTTATCGATAATTATTATCGCAATGCGTAGAGAAGGAGAGAGAATATGATTAGTAATTGATTAGTACTCGATTATTAACTCCCGAGCAAATTATTTCGTTTTGACGAGAAATCTTTTGAAAAATTCTTATCTTAAACAGAACAAAGAGAGAAAGGAAGAGCAAAATTTAATTCGCACTTGTTTTGCTTTTTAAAATAAATAATCGAATAATCGAAATAAAAGAGAAAAATAATAATTAAAATGCCTTTTCTTGTTGGAAACGCAAAACTGCTTTTGTACCTGTTGATTTTTTCCACTGATTGATTCTCTATAGAAACCTGTTTATCCGTTCACATTTCTAACGGTCCAAAAGTTATGAAACAGCATTTCACGGTAAAATCATTAAGTATTCAAACATCATCTGTGAGTAAACACCTTATACCACATACATACAAATTGTCTCTCTACAATTTACAAACCAGCAAATCAATTACAGTTGCATCTCTTCAAATAATCTCCCTTCCCTCCTCCTTCTTTTTCTTTTTTTCTCTTATGGATACAACGGATTACGATTTTAGAATAGCATTAATTTTCAATCGGATAAATTGACCATTTATTTACAATTACGAAAGCTAATGATCGCACCAATTATAGGAATTCCTGAAAGGAAAATAATCCTAGTGGAAAAACATTTGGAGAATTTTTTCTATAGGAAGGGAAAAGGTATAATTTTATAATTCAAAATATTAATTTTCTCCGTGACAAGGTAAATGTGTATGTCAAAAAAGATTTCCGTTGGGCTTTTAATTTTTATATTTTTTATTTTTTGTTTTTTTTTTTTAACTTTTTGATTAAAAATTTTTTGTTACCTTATCATTTTTTATATTTAATGTGCAAGTAAATTCCAATATTAAAAGAAAGATCAAATTCTTAATTTTTTAATTTAGAGAGAGGTGACAAGTTTATATGTGTTACATCGTAATTTAACGATTCGCGGAAAAGATTGGCATGAAAATCTCACATTGTCGATCGTGACAAACGTAAAAATCCTGGTGTGAACAAGGGCAGGTTTTCTCTCCCTTTCAAAAATCGACAGAGCGATAACGCGAATTTTATTGCCGCAAATATCAGCGCGGAACAAGCGAAGCTGTGCTCCTGTAAAATGGCAACGTGCCACCGTGCGTAATATTATTATTATTATTATTATTATTATATCGCTGCTTTCGCGTGGCCGGATAATGCTCGCATAATAAATGCAGAAGACAGACCGGCATGAAATTATAAACATCAAACAATCATTAATTCAAATGAAAGCACCGGGTTGCGGGAATTTTAATAATAACTCAGGCTGTGATAGCCTCCCCCTTCCCTCCCCCACGTCTCTTCCCTGCCTTACATTACGCGTTTTTAAATTCCGCTCGCGTATATCGACGCGAATTATAATTTCCTCGGGAAATTATAATAACAACGCGCGTGTGTATACGCGTTTTCATAATGATTTAATTATAACGTGACCGAGAAAGAGGAAGAGAGAAAGAGAGAGATATATATAAGGGGGTATGTTTATTTTATAACTTTATTAATAATACCGTTAAACACACATACACACGTATACGAGAGAGATGTATATAGTATCGCGATTTACACGATAACACTTAAGGGTATAAGCGACAACGAGCTGTCCGAGGAGATCTTTTTATACGAGGGCGATCATCATATCGAAACGCGTCGTTTTTTTTAATAAGCCGAGATACTATCTCTCGCCGTATCTGTCTGGTTTCAAAATTAACATATCAATTTATTTTCAGAGGAGAGAGAAAGAGTTGCCATTTTATTTCCAATCCCAATCAATAACATTTGCATCGAAGTGGAGATTCGCACGAAATCACGCGAAGAAGATTAGACATTCTATTAGTCTATGTATTTCCCACGGTATTTCCATGATGCATTGCGTGATTTGAAATGCTTATGGTGATATATTGATATGTTAGTTGCATTGTAAAAAAATAAATAATTGAAATTGGAAAATACAACACTATTTTATTAACTAATTTATTCATATGTCCTACTTACTAATATTTCCATTTCTTATTATATTGACTATAACATAACCTAACTTGTCAACTCGAATCACAGTCGCGCAGGCGCGCATCGCAGAGCATCATGGGTAACTGTGGGAGACGTCCTAACCTTTTTATATATAAACTTTAGGGTCGAGAAGGTGACGATGCACGGTCCCAGATTAGCATTTCGCGTCCTGGCATTTGGGAACGTAAATACAGGGAGAGGAGGAGAAAGGCTACCGTTTTCGCACGCTGAGGCTACTACTGTACGTGATAAACACTAGAGATGAGAATATAGAGGTCGAGGACAAAGAAGGACGCGAAGGGAAGGAAGGAGATGTCGATCTGACCAAAACCTGACCAAAACCAACGACGGAGAACCGACCGGGAATTCCAGAAACGCGCGCGTTTCTCAAAGAGTTCACCGGCGACGCGACGCTTCCTTCGCGATATAGCAAGAGAAAGAAGGAGAAAAGGGTGGGAGAGAAAGGAAACCGCGGCGACGTGTTCGAGGATTTATTAAGGAGACACCTGAATCTCTTCCCGTTCGGAATCTCGAAACCGTTAAAAAGATCACCTATCCTCTTTCGCCTCCGTGTGGCAAGGATGTGCCCGGTGGTCGCGAATTTTAATGTAAATACCGTGAGATCGTATAAAATATCGTTTAGCTTAGGAAAGCGACGATCCTTGGAAGAACCTAGCCCCTCCACATCCTAATAACGATTAAACATCCTCGCGCTAATTGGCAATTACAGGGCACGGGTGCCTTGACAGAGCTTTGCTTCTTGCTCTTTTCATACTCTCCCTTCTCTCTCTTTCACTCTGCGAAGGAGCAAAGATCGGGTTTATCCCTGACGGTGGGTCCTACAAAAAACGTTGCGTCTCGCGCGACTCACACTTTCGTCTACCTGTCCCTCTGTGTGCGCGAAAAGCGAAGAGGCAGAAGACTCGAGGATGGTCACCGGATGGAGAAGGTGTCGGGACCCTTCAGAAAGAGAGAAAGAGGGACGGTGGCAGCATTATAAGCGCGTTTGGTATACACACGAACGAAAAAGAGAAGTGATGGGGGTGGAGAAGGAAAGGGGACGAGGTGACGACAGCGAAAACTAGTTTATTTGGAACGCGGCTATAAATTAGGATCAGATCGCCGCGAGATAAGGGAGTACTGGCTAACACCCGGTTCCCTCTGAAAAGACGACCTTCCTCCGCTCCCTCGCCTCCCTTTATCCTTCATCCTGGTCCTTTTACCTCGCGTCGTCAACGTCTCGTGGCATCCTACAAAGACAACGAATGACGACGAACGTTTTTCGCAGCTTCGATTTTGCTCTCTTCGTCTCTGCGATTCTCTCGAATTTTTTGTATGATCTTGTTTCGCCTCTTCAGGCGATATTTCAGAATAATTTTTTTCATATTATTGCGCCCTAAAAAGTACTTTCTTAATTTTTCCTTCAATTTTTTATCGTGGAAATTATTTTTCAACAGAGATTCAAATTTAAATATTTATATACAGAGTGAGTTATTTTAATGTCTTGCCCTAAATAGCTTTTTCTATGCTTTTTACATAAAAAAGAATTTTGAAATATTATTAATTTTGAATCCCCATCAAACGCAGAGAGAAAAAATGTCCTTTCGCTCCAAGTGCTGTCGAATTGACGCCGGTTGAAAACCGGAAAGTATATTTTCGCAGGAAGAGAGACTCCGGGGGATTCCCTTACGATTTCGACGAATCAGATAACCTTCAAAAGAACTCGCGCTCGTACCGCGAGAAAAGCGTTACGGATACGGGGAGGATTCGCCGAGAAGAATGAAAGAACGAACGAGACCGAGGAGGGTAAAGCCCTGGAGATGAATCCCGCGAATCGTTTGTAAGGAAACGAGCGAACAGCCGTTCCGACCCTCCCTTTATTCACGGCCGCGAATGAGAGGACGAAGACTCCGGCGGAGTCTTTCCCGGAGATGCTTTAACGATCGCCTTCTTCTCGACTAACCGCTTCCCTATCTTTCCGTCGACCTCCTATCGACCATTTCATTCACGAATCCTCCCTCGAATGAATTAACGAGATTTTCGTACAATTTATACGCGCGTAAATCGTTCGTCCGATATGCAACATATAATGTAATTTTAGATAGAATTTACAACGCGGTCAGCGTTGACACTTCTTTACGACGCTCGGAGGTGTCCATCTCAAGCTTAAAGAGACCTAAACACGAGACCGAACCCTCCGAAGTCGTCCGTTCGGTCACCAACGCGACAGGTTGAGGTGTGTCCGAGTATATATTTCCAACACACATATGAGCGCGCACACATACATACATAAAAAGCTACGGACGACCTACGGTGTGGTAAGAGAAAGACGCGGTTAGCCAGTGGTGATTCCATTCACTGATTGAAATCTCTGTCCATTTGTCACTGTCAAGGAGGTGGCGATAGCCTCTTTCTCCTTATTTCCCTCTCTCTCTCTCTCTCTCTCTTCTCTCTCTCTCTCAGCCTCTCGACTGTGGGCTACCCACACGCGCTGCTCCGATGCGCGATACCATTATTATTTCAACTCGAGTCGCCCAGCTTAACGACACGCCAATCGACACGCCGGATATTAATTTCTTATCGATTGTTCCCGAGGTGTCCACGCGCGAGTTTGGCACCAACCGAGTTCAACAACAGTTCTCGCGCAAGCAAGAATCCTTATATCGATTTTCGTGCCGATAAGCCGGACCCGGTCATGTACCGTTGCTTCGGACAACTTGCCCCTTTTTTCCGTCCATTCCCATCTCCTTCTTTTTTTTCTCTCCGCTCATCTCCGTCGGAGATTTTTTTTTCCTTTTACAGTCGCGAAAGTAAATTACGAAAATAACTCATCGTGACGTTAACGTGGCTTTAATGTATGAACCGACCCAGGATTTTTGCATCGATCTTTCTGTAGGAAGTTCGAAATCTTTCGACGCGTGTAAAAACGAAAAAGAAAAGAAAATAATAAAACTGCGGAACTTACCTCAAGAAAGACTATGTCGCGTTCTGGACCTTCGCTGCCAGCTCTCTTAAACCGGCGACACGTAGCCGTTACCCATTGATTGCGAGCTGAAACACAAGTAAGAGACGCGCGTACTTTCTAATTCTTCCTTATAGTTTTCAAGGAAAGAAAACATTTTCTGTTTATTTTGTACGTCAAATAAAAATTTACTCGCGATTTATCATACGAATACTCTGACAATATTAACGACAAAATTATATCCGACATTGGACCTAGGTATTCTCTCCGCTCACCTTTTGTAAAACGGTTTGAACGCGGTGCTGGCCTCCGTGGGCGGCAAACTGGCAGTGGTTTGATGCTGATGGAGAATGGAATTCTGTCCGACCGGCGAGCTCTGCAGCCGAGAGCTGAAGGACGACGCGCTACTGGCCGAGCCCGAACTCGTCGACAGATAACCCCCGCCGCCGGGATGAATCGCCGCGCCATAGGGATTGTTGGGATTGCCGTTAGTCGCGGCTCCGGTCGCGTTGCCACCAGGACAGTAACCACCCGGAGGGCCCTGGATTACTCCGTTCGGCGTGGCCACCTTCATGTTGGGCGGCGTCTGAGGTGGAGTGTCCGTGCCAACCTCGGGAAACCCCGCCGCAGCTGCCGCCGAGGAGGACGCGCTCGAGCTGGAGCCCGACGACGAGTTGGGATTGTAATGGAGCTGACTGCCGGACGAGGACGAGAGCAGACCGCCGTATCTCGCGGTCATGCCTGTGAAGGGCGCCGTCGCCGCCGCCGACGGGCTCATCCCGGCCGAGGAGGGTAGAGCGAACGAGCTCCCCAAGTTGCCGCCACCTCCGGCGCCACCTCCGGCACCGCCGCCTCCACCCACCATGCTTGCCGTACCGAGCCACGAATGTCGCGTGTCAGTCTGGATCATATCTTGACGAGGCATGTGATATTGGTTCTGTTGCGGGTAGTGCTGCTGATGATGCTGATGATGATACTGCTGATGATGGGGATGCGAGGGCGGCGGCGGTGTCTTGCACGCCGCCGTGTCGGCTAAGGACCAGATTTTTGGTTTCGTTGCCGGGATAGGCACGCCGCCCGCGCTACAGTCCGGTTTGATGTTTTCATCCTTTAAATGATCCTCGCCGCCGAAGCCTTGATGGTGATGGTGGTGATGTTGCATCGCGTGATGAAACGGATGCTCGTTCCGTCGACGATCGTCCTCAAGTTCCAGGTCGTCTTCATCATCGAGATCCTTATCGTGCTGCAGGAGCTCTGCTTTCACATGCCTCATCGGCTCTGGAAACGATATCAAGGGGAAATTATTTGTAGACTTATCAACTGAACGTATCTGTGGATTCGGCGAAACGTCAACAAAATAAATACGAGATGTTCCAGCACGAAAGAAATACATCAAATTGAAAAATTTTGTGGTACAAAACCAATCGTTATAAAACTTGACGTGGACATAGTATGAGGTAAAATATGAAGAAATCTAATCAAAATTGAATGGCAAATGGACATCGACGATGACGAGGAAAACAGAAGGGGATAAAACCCTGCTAATCACCATGCACGCATTCATTTTATAAAGTTTTATCAACTAGGCACACTTCCCATTTATGTAGCCAGCGAAGCTGCAGTGTTTGTGAGGGACCATTCATGAATAACGTTATTTTATTATCGAACACATCGGACCCATTTTATGATTTTTTATCAAGACCTACACATTTCGGTTAGATTTCTTCACATTTTACTTCATACCTGTGTAATAATACATGACAATTGATTTTGTACCACAAAATTTTCCCAATTCGATACACTCGTGTGTGCCACGTTTGTCATGGCGAAGACGGTTCGCGAAAATGTATACGCGGAATATAGGCATTAATGGTTTATAATGCTCGAGAACGCAGAACGCAACGTAACGGGATTCCGTCGTCGTGAAGGGTCGTCGAGCGACGCGCGAGAGTGGCGGATATCTCCCTTACGCCCCTATATAGTTAAGCTGTAAGGGATGCTGTGAAAAAAGGGGAAGCGAAGCCTTCAACCACTTTGGGGCGCGAGAGATTTCAGTTTCCCTTCGGGGCAGCCGATGCGGGGAGGATGCGCGGGAGAAAGATGGAGCGTCGTATCCCTCTCTCCTTTTTCTCCCGATCTCCCTGTCCCGTCTCGTCTCTCGGGGCGCTTCACGAATCGTCCCGAGCGTCTGCCAGCCAGCCAGCCAGCCAGCTAGGCAGCTACCGAGCCAAGCCAGCCAGTCAGTCAGGGGTGAGAATTTCATTAAGAGGTTCGAATGTGTCGGCAGAGGGTTTACTTGATGGGTCGTCAAGCGATAATTCCCAAGTTCGAAGGGCGTGCTGCTATATTCTGGAGTGCAAAAGAGAAAGAGAGATAGAGAGAAGAGGAGAGAGGAAAAAAGAGTTTCGGTTTAGGGCGCATGCACGCCCCCTTATAAAGGGAGCCTTATAGGCCAACTAAATAGATACTACCGTCGAGTCCACAAGTGGCTCTTTAACTTTTGACCCTCTTTTATCAAACGTTAATCTCATAATCTTCACGCCGTGCGGGCAGATTCCCTGTTTAAAATTGAATAACTAAATTGTGTGTATTTGTATTTATGGTTTCGGATTCGTTGCTTACACACGAGACAAAAGTATATAATAATAATAATAATCTCTCTTTTGGCTTCTAATGTTATATCTCGCTAATTCACGAAACAAACCAAACTTTTGCTCATGTTCCGACTTTACGTAAAACAATAGCGAACTCGAAGAGCCAAGAGAGAGCTCGGATATATTCCGCCTGAATACGAATATTTCAACCTTCCGGCGCATAGGTGGCTGACAGTTCGTGTGACCTATCTTCCTTCAGAGTCGGCGTAGAAATTCATGAACGTTCCCGAAAGCTCCCCTTTGAATTTCTAAAGGTCACATCGTCGTACGTACGTGTGTATTCATTTTTCCACAAGCAAAGTGTCAATACGCATACACGCATACACGTTCTCGCTAGTTTTATCCGAGAGGAGAAATACCGCGAAAATATATATTTTAGCCGTAAGGAGGCTTTTGCTTTCACACGAGAGAGAGAGAGAGAGAGAGAGAGAGACCGAGCGCGGCAAATCAATTTCCCGTCGGTTCTCGTCAAGCCTTTTCCAAGCCTTTGGTGCGCATTGTCGAAGCGCTGCTCACCTCGGTCTTTTGAAATTACGAGCCATTGCAGGACGCGTGACGCAGCACGACAGGACCTGGATATCCTGGTTATCGGGATAGAGAGAGAGATCGAAATGACGAGAACCCATGAGAAAGAGAGACAGAGAAGACTCGATATTGGCCAATGTGCGGTGGGGTAATGGTGGCTATAGGAGGGTCCGTACCATTCGTCTCGCCGCGGGCGCCGATACATCACCGTACCTCGAACCAAGCGCGTTCTCCCGCACGTGTATCTATATACAGTTCGCAGTATATATACCTATATCTATATACACACACACATATACATACATATGGATCCCGTGGCACAGAGAGTATATGGGTTCTACGGATGGCTACTCAGCCCGGGCGCACCCTCTCCCTCTTTCGCGCACGCATACAATTACGCGCTCCTCTGGCCTGTGTGTGCACATATACAGGTCTACCTACGAGCCCTCACAACACAGGCGGGCAGCCCGGGTCCAGAGAGAGCCCGGGGTACCAATACACCAACGGCCGTCGGCCCGGTCCACCGGGGGACCGAACTGAGGGCCATTAATCTCTTCGCGCGGCAACCCGCAACCTGTCACTGTGTTTACCCACATGTGAACCATTATGTCCGCCCTCGCAATATAGAACTCCGCTCCGCTGCGAATTCCTAACCTCGCCGTTTCCGGCCGCCGCGCCAAGAAATGCGACCTATCTCGATATCGGAACCACAATTTTGGGAAACGGGCATTAAGCGGGACCCTTAACGAGCGCTTGCGGTGGTATCGAAAGCCAGGATGAGCCGAATTTTGCAACTCGAGCAGTGTCTCTAGGATTCGAGGAAAGAGAGAGATATTGGAGCAAAGATGTATTTATCCAAAAGTGTCCACACTTTTGCTCGAAAAGGAGGGGTTTAAAAGATTTTTAGAAATACTTGTCGCGACTGTCAACACACAAAGTTAGAAGGTCGACTTGCATCGTGTGCATTATGCACGCTTGCGCAATACGAGAAATGCCAGCTGATGGGTATTCGATATCGGGGAACCTGGTCACGCGAGGTAAACACGCCATCGACACATTCCGGAGTCAAAGAGATCGGCTCGCCCTGCTTGCCGGACCCTACCTTCGAGAAACGACGTCAACAATATGCTTTTCGCAATATCGATAATCGGACGTTTCTTAACGATAGAAAATCCCCGATAGCGCCGAATGTTACTCGTATTATCGGTCTATTTCTGCTACTGCGACGTTGACGGACACGCCTTTCTCGTTTTATTTCATTTCACAGTTTATAGCCTTGTTAAGCTGAGATCTCTCTCTCTCTCTCTCTCTTGCGTGTCAATCGTCAGATCTCGCGAATTTTCTAAATCGCTCTCTCGCGGGTTCACGACGGGAAAACCCGACGGCGCCGTATTTTAAAGCAAAAAAATCCTAGAATAACATATTCTTATAATCCAGGGTGTCCACTTCCTGGAAAAGCGTGAAATTCTCAGGGGGGAGAATTTTATTCTTGTACCTGAAAAATTCTAAGAATTGTCATGGGATTATTCCTTTCCGGGCTTTTCTTTACGAGCTTCGAGTGTGGACACCCTGCTACATCGCGCGTGCGCGGATGAATAGAGAAGGGAAAAAAGACTTACCGGTGTCATCGAGGCCCCGTCTCGCATCTTCACCGACTCGGTCGCCCCTGTTGTCCGCCGCGAGATCATCCTTTTCCTTATTATCCTCGGAATCGGAGAGCACCGCGTCGTCGTCGTCGTCCGTCTTGTTTTTGGGTTCCCACGTCATCTTGTTCTCCTTTTTGAGACGTCTCCGCGCATTTGCGAACCAAGTGGAGACCTGAGTCAGCGTCATCTTCGTGATGATAGCCAGCATAATCTTCTCGCCTTTCGTCGGATACGGGTTCTTCTTGTGCTCGTTCAGCCAAGCCTTCAAGGTCGCCGTCGATTCTCTCGTGGCATTCTTCCGTCGCGCGGCCAGATCGTAACCGGCGCTGTACCTGAAGAAATAAAGAAAAACGACCGACTTGCAATGAGATCGCCCCTGAAATCCTTAGAAAAAAGATGTCGTCACGCGCAGATAAACAGCAGCTTGTAAACAGGAAGCGGAATCGAGATGCGAAGACCGTGGATAACATTTGCATATCTATCTATTCTGCGCATCTATCTTATTTCAAAGAAATTTATGAAAAAGGATCACACCCCGTCCCTTCATAAATGTCAATCGCGCGTTATTAACGATCGAATAATCGCCCATTATAAACAACGTTCGCCGCTTGCCTGCCGCAGAAGGTATAACTATTGTTCCATATTTGTCGAAACGGGCCGCACTCCACTCGAAAAGTGGTATCGTGTCGAGGGTGCGAATTCCCTGCAGATTTTGGCAAGTCCGAAGTGCTCTGCACGAGCCCTCGGCTTTCCTAGATATCTCTCTCTCTCTCTCTCTCCCTTTTCTCTCCGTGCCTTGCTCGACATCAAACCCCTCCGGGATAAAGGAGGGAGGGTATCCTACTGGGTCGTGGGGTGATACTCCGGCAAATATATACGGGGAATAAACCCCCAGCGGCGGCGTGATTCCATCGTGCACCCCCGGCACTCACTCGCCGTAATGGCGATTCGATCGATCTCCTCCCTCGACCACCCACTCCCCCTTGCTCGCTCTACCACCCTTCTCCCCGGCAAAGAACCCCGGAGTATGTTATAGAGGTGGGTACTGTTATATACTACACACAAGCTAAAATACCTATCGACGAATCCATCGGCTGTGAAACGACGACGGTGGCACAGCGGGTTCACCACGATGATGGTGGTTAAGCAAGGATGTTTTGCTTCGAGCGGAACGCAGACGGATCTGCCAACGAGAACTGTTGCTCGTCCAGAAGGCGGTCGAGGAAAATCGACATCGAAATTCGAAGGATTAATAATGACAAAAAAAATATATCCCGCTGGTTCCAATTTATTCAAATGTGAATTCCGTTTGGAGATATAAAAGAGATGAGGGAGAGATATAATTCACGAGAGACACGATTTGGAAATAATTTAAGCGAAAGGTCTCGTGTCCGAGTGACGCGCGATTGTGATGACATCGATCAAACTATCAATTTATTCAATTTACGATCTGGCAGTTGCCAGATATATGTATATGTGTATGTGTGTTTTGCGTATACGGAAATAATCACAATAGCAGCGTGGATTATTCTCTACTTTTGCCGCGGCGAGCGATCGTTATCGAATGGCGATTGAAAATGAACGTTAAAAATAAACCTTGTCAAATCCCTATTTCCATTTTATGTAATCGAATTAAACGAGCGCGTCAGAGCAGATCGTTCGGAGAAATCGCTCGGTTACAGGAAGAGTCCGAAGAGAAGAAATAAGAAGAGAGAGAGAGAAAGAGAGAGGGAGCGAAGCGGAAATCGAACGAATGGCGAATGATTAGGTTCTCGCTTTCACTCAACGAGCGCAAGGTTGCGCAACCCCCTTTCTGGGCCAACTAGGCACCGCGATCCGTATCCGAGATTGCCGAGATGACCGAATCGACGGGGATGAAAGCAGCGATCCGCAGGAAGCTGACTCGAAGAAGGTGGAGGACGTTTCACCCTCTATTAAACTCCCTCGTACAAGGGAAAGGCGGCCGCCAGGGATACGCCATACGCCGGTAAAACGAGCCTCTTCTCGACTCCTTCAGGTTTTCTTTCCTTTTTTTTTTCTTTCTTTTTTTCCCTTCTCTTCTCCCACGACCGCGTTCGTCCTTCGCTGTTCCACCGCAAGAGAACGACCGTAGCGTCCTTAAAAAAGGAGTCTTATCGATTCCGATAGGCCTTCCGTCGCTGAAGCGATTCGCGCCGAAAGACGAAACAATAAAATGCACGTATTAGAAGACAGATATATGTATATTGCACGACGTTTCGCTCGAGATATCGTTTCTGCGCGAAGAAAAAAAACAGAACGGAAAAGTTTCTTCTCGCGAATTAAAAACGAAACCTTATTAAAGCGTTACGATGTGAATTTTTTATACATGCGTTCAGATTATTAAACATTTTTATTTTAAAAATCAATTGATGCAAAGTTTCGCTCGTATATTGTAAATACAACTAGTGATAGATAAAAAAGCCAACTTATCGAGCAATTATTAGAGTTGTTCTGTCAAATAAATTTATTCCGTGTATAAACTAAACATAAAACATTATGTGAAAGCTACAAACATTCTATACTCAAACTTAAGCGAAAATTACAATTATTATAAAATAAACGTTTCAACCGCACGCGGTCTTCCTCAGTATTATATTACAGTAATTATTAAAAAATACAAAATCATACAAAAACTCCACATAATATCGAAAATTAATGTTAGTTCTTCAATAATATTTTTATTTTTATTTTACAAAGTAATCTTAATTGTGTGTGTTGTAATATACAGAATTATTTTAACATTTAATCAATCATTTTTCTTCCCCAAATGTCAAAATTTTGACGAATCTTTAGAAACACTCTGTGTTGTCAAATAACAATTGTAATTTAATTAAATTGATGAAATAAATTATTTTATTATTGATTTCCACCACTAAAAAAATACTTTTGAATAATCTCGAGTCAAAGAAATATAAAAAATCTTCAGTTTTTATAAGAAAAATAAATAAATGAAACTTACAATTAGTTAAGTAAATATGACTATTAAAATACGCAAAAACATCCACGCACTAATTAAATGACGCAAAAAGAAAAAAGAAAATATTTGTGAAGAGAAAATAACAATTGTAATTTAATTAAATTAATGGAATAAATTATTTTATTATTGATTTCTACCACTAAAAAAATACTTTTGAATAATCTCAAGTCAAAGAAATATAAAAAATCTTCAATTTTTATAAGAAAAATAAATATATGAAACTTATAATTAGTTAAGTAAATATGACTATTAAAATACGCAAAAACATCCACGCACTAATTAAATGACGCAAAAAGAAAAAAGAAAATATTTGTGAAGAGAAAATAAATATACGCCCGGCATAATCTGTGTAATCTTCGAATGTATCGATGACTATTCTTTTTTAACATTTTTTTCCGCTCTTCGTACCAAAACAATTATCCGAACAATTTCCGCGCTGCGAGAAATCGTGACAATCCGGTGAAAAAAAAATAATCGTGTCGAATCAGAGGCCCGTCAGACGAGAGCGGCTTCCAGATACAATCAAGCTTCGCCCCCTTCATTAATATGCGCAATTTCGGCTGCCTCCCACACGCGTCGCGCAATTATCTACATATACAACGAGTCGACGCTCTCTCTCTCTCTCTCTCCTCTCTCTCTCTTTTGACATTTACATACTAAGTGTATCGTTGCATGCCGAGAGGGAATCGCTGGGATATGCGTATCGATGTGATCGTGCGTCTCGTATAAACCCGCGGACGGACGCGATGACGAATGGGAGCGAAATAAAAACTTGATGCGCGGATGCGCGAGTGCAGCTTTTTTCTCATAACGTTGGTCCGCGAAAAATTTCACCGTTATTCTTTTAATATTTTCGATAACGTCATAAAGATTTTTATTAAATTAAAGGTATGCAAACACACATAAATATGTAGCGATATAAGCAGGAAGAGGAAAAAGAAAAAAGATTTCTTTATACCGAACGAGTATACAAATAGATGTGTTCAGATTATTAGACTCAAACGCATTTTGACGTTGAAATTCATTTTAATTAAATTTTATTTTGTTATTTTTTATGTAAAGTTGAACATGTTTTCTTTTTAATTCAATAACCTAGATATTATTCGTAATCTTTGTTTTTTTTTCATGATAAAAATCAATAAAATAATTTCTCTTATTTTATAATTATACTTCTTATTGTTGTTTGACAAGACAGATTGTTTTTTAACAACAAAACGTCAAAATTTTGACGTTTAGAAAAGAAAAGTGATTTGTTTACTAAATGTTAAATATAATTTTAAGTGTAAATTTGTCTGTATATTATATAATTAAGATTACTCTCAAATAAGTTATTAAAACAGTTTGAGTCTAATCACATTTGTACACATGATAATCATTTAGGGGATCTCTTCAAACATTAATAATTTAAACGCCTTGAATCCCCTATTCTCCTTTTTTATTATCAACTGATTGCTCAATCGAAAGACCGAATAATCGAACGTTGACGTCAGCTGCATCGTGATATCGGATTCCTTCAAATTGATTTCGTACAATCGGCGAAAGATAAAGATCGCATCGGCGATCATATTTTTTCGCAGAGGTCAAGAATCAATGTCAATTTCAAAGAGGCACGATGCTCTTTGCTGATAGGAGTGAAAGGGAGAGAGAAGAACTAGTATTTTATATATATATAAATTATAATATTTATATACATATAAATTAATAAGTTAAATGTAAAGTACATGTTAAATAATTTTTATTTTAATATATTATAATTTTATTATATATTTTAATATATATTATAATTGAATTGCAAACGTTTCGACTATACTCGATCTTCTTCAATACAATAACGTAATAATAATAATAATAATAATAATATATTAAAATATATAACAAAATTATAATATAATAAAATAAAAATTATTTAACATGTATAATTTTCTTGCTCGTTTACTTGGATTTTTTCTGATTAATTTTTGAATTTTTATATATATATATATATAAAATTGACGGTAGATGATGGGATGAGTGGGAGGGAAGTGATACGGCAGGATCGTCGAATACCTACGACAGCTAATAACGATGTGAAGGGGTGCGTGGAGAAGCGCGTAATACTAGACACTGGCGGCACTCGAGCGACTCATTAGAGGCTTTGCATATGGTGGCGTCAACCTCGAAAGGTTAACCAATATTGGCAGAACGCGCGTAATTACGTCCTCCAGCCTCGTATAATCCTGTATGTGCGTATGTGTGTCTATATATATATATATATATATATATATATATGTGTGTGTGTGTGTGTGTGTGTGTGTGTGTGTGTGTGTGTGTATGCACAATATATGTAGCTTCAATAGTTACGCCCGGCTTCAATAGTTAGTTCCGTCTCTCTATCTCTCTCTCTCTCTCTCTCTCTCTCTCTCTCTCTCTCTCTCTCTCTCTCTCTCTCTCTCTCTCTCTCTCTCTGTTTCCCATACATAGCATCTGCTTCGTCGACAAGATCCGCCCACGCATTCGCGTTCTACGATGAAGCGATATGCTGTCTGCATCTAATCATCGAAGCTTTCTCCTCCGCATTGTTGCTCCAAGACGAGAAGCAAGGCGGATAGTTTGCAAAACATATTAGGGTGGTATTGAAAGGAAATTATAATTTCCTAGTAGTGATCAATTATTTTTGAAATACGAGGACGATATCGCGGAGTAATATCTTAATTTCTGTTTTAATCAACCTGTAAACTTGTTTGATCGGACTGTGAGAATCCCAACTGTTTACTTTGTACGATCGATAAAATGTATCTTGTGTATCTTCCATATTTCGAGTAATTTTTTTCTAAAATTACACCGGTTTAGTTCTTTCGAAGCATCTTTGGATATAGATAGAAAAGACGCGGATAAGTGATCGATGTTACGGGAAATCACGAGGAATCGTCGAAGAGAAAAAAAGACCGGCGCATTTCTACGATCCCGACATAGTCTACATCCGTATAAGCGTAATCATCCATCTAAAAAGCGGTATTTCCCGATCGGGTGGAAATTAAGTTAGTACCACTCGCTGACGCGATGTCCTATCTTTTAATGGGTGAAAAAGAGCGACGGCACTCAGCTCCATTCGGCTCCGTCAAAGGAATACGAGATTGATACTTACATATTTAACGATCTAAAAGAGAGTAGAAACTTTTGCACGTCACATTTGTCACATATTGCGTACTGTATTGATAACACTGTTCAAGAAAAAAATTGATCACAATGAGACTAATCGTTTCTTATACTTTTTTGGATGCTATAAATACGAATCTGATTTCCAAATTATTCCATCACATCACAATTTTCACAATACAATATGTGATGTACTAGAAAAGTTTGATTGCAAAACAAATTTTTTATGTCGGTTATGATCAATAAGATATGATTAAATGGAAAGTTAGCTGTGACTTAGGTCATTAACAATTTACCAATTGGATTTCAATTATGTTTATTCAATCTTAATGGTTTTTTAGGTCACTGAATGCAAATCCAGTGTGAAAATTGTCAAATTTAAAATGATATGGACTCAATATTGTGGATTTATATAAAAAAACATTTCTTAAAATTTGGCATCACTCAAATTGAATACCATTTTGAATTGACATTAAATTCGTATTCAACCTAAAAAATCCTTAAAAGCTATTTAGTAAATCGTCAATGACCTAATTGTAAGTCACAACTAACTTCTGCGACACAACTCATATTTAACCATGAATATTTTATTAACCATAACCGACACCAAAAATTCCTTTCGAGAGATAAAACAACATACTTTATTTCGATTGCAATAAAATTTCTCTAGCATGTCACATATTGTAATTATAATATGACAAAATTCGTGAAAACAGTTCTTTTTTCAATTTTAATTAAAAATTTCCCAAAATTGTGACGTGATGGAGCAATTTAAAAACCGGATGCATATTTAGCATCCAAAAACCTATAAGAAGTTATTGTCGTTCCGGTATTCGAAAAAAGTTATTTTTTGTTGAACAGTGTAACATTTCGGTGCTAAAAAGCTATACGCGACAAATCTATCCCTGCCATTGAAATTTCCATTTGACGTCTTAAATATCTGCTGCATCATCTTATTACACGGGAGAGAAAGAGAGAGCCCAGACGCGCTCGTTCATCATCCAATAAATAAATAACAGGACGTGGAATGAAGCTCCGGTGTGCAACGGCGCGAATGGAGAAGAACAGAGAATTCCATCAATTTGTGCGAAGGCAACAGAAAAAAAGAGAGAGAAAGAGACTTCCACTTGTGTCCCCGTTCACCAAGTGTCCCCAAAGGAACCCTTTCGTGGGATAGTCGACGTAACGACGTATTTCTCATTTCCTGTAATCAGAGCGTTCGCGTCCCAATCGAGTCGCTTCAATTTACAGCAGACCCGGAGGGTGAAGGAAGAGAAGGACAGAGGGAAGCCTCCCTTCCTTGTGTCGCCGAGCAACAACAACAACGCAAAGTCCGCAACTTTCAACGCCGCTGATAAAACAATAGCGGTCCGACGAAGCGTCGAAGAGTGAACGGGAAGCCCCGTTTTAAGGGTAGGGAAGAGAAGCAAAACTCCGGGAAAAGCGGGAAGAGAGGGAAGAACGACAGAGAGTGGCCGTCGTATTATTAAGCAAGTAAATTAATAGAGGCTTGTGTCCGGAGTGAGAAAGCGATAGAGAGGGAGAGAACGAGACAGTATAAGGCCACTGAATTCCACGATAAACAATGCCTACCCGTCGGAGTTTCTCCGGCAGGCGCCGCCGTCGAGCACATGCAGACTATATATACCCCTAAAAGGGGGATGGCCTCGAAGAGGGAGGGAAAGCCTCTCCCGTTGCGTGAGTCACAGCGCCTGCCTATGCGTGAACGTCGTGCGCGAGTGTATATCTAAGTGTGTGTGTATGTATGTATGTGTGCTCGCCAGGCGGACACGAGGGTTGCTAAGCGAAGCAAGTAAAGCACCTGTGGGAGCCGACTCGTTCGGAGGATACGGAGGAAGGTGGCCGGGGAAGTAGTCGAAAGGGAGTAGACGGAGAGCGGGTGGCGAGGGCGGAAGAGAGAGAGACAGGGATGAAGATAGAGCGAGAGGCCGGGCGAGCCAACCCCGGGGAGAAAGCCAATCAATAAACTCACTCACTCGCTCTCCTACGGTGAGAGACCTACTGCTCTCCCTACGCTCGCGATGTGGCGATACCGCTCGCGTCTGTATGTAGGTATACATATATGCGTTTGTGTGTATGTATATGTATGTATATGCATGTATGTATACACACGCGTCCAATCTGGAAGCCTCCATTATATACGCCCACTCGGCTGCCTACAGCCATTTTGTAGCCGTCCGTCGTGTTTGGCCTAACTCTCGAAAGCCGAGGTACCTTCAACCCTAGCTCCCCCTTTCTCCCTCCTTTCCCTCTCCTCCTTTCGAGTTCGACAGAATCCGGAAATCGCGGCAGTTAACGACCAAATGTCGATCCGACGATGATTACTTGTATTAATGTACTTGCGTGCGATCACGACTTGTGTAAGCGGCGAATTATGTACCATAAGCTATAATGAAAATATCCGATCGTTATATATATATATATATATATATATATCTGTATTATCGCAGAAAAAATTATTCCCCATCGCCGGATGTGGTTTCTCTATCGCCGATCAAAGCGTACAGCGTTACAGCTCATCTCAGAAGCCGGTGCAATTTTAACGGTCCATATACTACCTCTCTCTCTTCTTCATCAGGTGCTCACGCGATGCAAGAAAGGCGAGAGGAGGGGCAGATATTACGAATTCGCGCGATAACGATAACCATCGTTGCGGAAACGCTTCTAGCGAAGTATATACGCGGCTACGCGATCGTGATTCTTGTTTTAATGGCGAGGGAACGAGGGGAAGCCAAAGGGGGTCTTCTTCTGCGAGTGGGATAAGGGGAAAGAGACGACTCTTCGGCGCGGCGCTCTCTCCCGGTGGTGGTTTAATCTAATGGAGCCGAGAGACCATGAAACCTGGCGATAAACTTACCCGTAGGCGGCCAGGGTTGGATCGTAAGGGTAGTAACCCGTGGCGGCAGGTTGAAGGGCGGCCGTACCCCACGCGGCACCCATGTCCGCCGTCATGCCCATCCCCGTCGCGTCCTTCAGCCCGTACGGATTACCCTGCAAAGAGCATGTGCGATAAGCATTATAATTTATTTTTAGCACGTATCTCGTATATTTTAGCGTGTATTCTAAGTTTTCGACGTTAAACCTGCGTCAACATACACATCTCTCTTCTAGAGATTCAAAAGTTCGAAGGAATTGGATGATTTGATGATCAATATTATTTTTTGAAAAGCTATATAGATTTGCGCAAAAATTCTAGATTAAAGAGTGACGTTCAAAATGGCCCTTCAAAATTATCTTTTTGAACAACAAAAATTTGCATCGTATGGGTACAAAATGATGGGTATTGAAAATAAACTCTTTACGACATCTAGTTTTCAAGATATCGTGAATCAAAGTTAAGTTGCCTAATTTATGTATGTAAATAGAAGACATGTTTCTTTGAGTGAAATAAAAATATACAAATAACAATAATAATGACATTTTTGTAATGTTACTATTATTGTTATTGTTGGTGTTGTCGTCGTCATCGTTGTTACTGTTGTTGTCATTGTTGTCGTCGTCTTTGTTGCTGTTGTTGTTATTGTTGTTGTTATTGTTGTATTATAAATAATACAAATATTTTCTTGACTCATTGATGATGTCATGATGACAAATGATGTAAATTATTATAATGCAACAATTATATAAATTCGAATGCCGAAAAATTTTATTTTTAATATTTTTCTATTTTTGCTCAAAAGGGGGATTTTCTAAGCGTCATTCTTTGCAAAAAATACTAATTAAATTTCTAATTCAATTCTAGTTAGATAGATTACTCTGTAGGCTGAGATACACGAATCTGTGTGTATCTGAAAGCCTTCCAGAAAGATTCAATCTCGATCCATCTCAATTTTCGTCAATAGATCTCGACTACAAGGAAATCGTAATGGTCATATAAATATAATGCCCGACCTAAACCACTGTAGTATATACAGCAAGCGGTTTGTAGCCCTATAAGAAGATTATACAAGCACGATAAATGTGTCCCTGAAAGAAATCTTTCAACCATCCTTCATTCTTTCGGTTCATCTCGCGACGCATATTTAAGACGGAAGGAGAAGAGACCTTCCGATGTGCCGCGCGTTAACCAGACATCCCTAAAACATTATCGCAGACAGACTTGTCGGGCGTATTAATACAAAATATAAGAGGAGCCACACAAAGAGAAAAACAAGATGGGACCAAGGGTGCACGGAGAAAGAGAGAGAAAACGCAGGTGAGAAAAGGGGAGAAACGCGTCGGCATGTTATGCGGCTCTAATGGTAGCAGAATGGAATGATATTATTAGCGCTACAGGCTTAGGAGGGATGGTCTTTGGCGCCACGGAGTTTCGTGTTACATCTAGTCGTCGTCGGCGTCCTGATTCTTAATTCCCTGTCCGCCCCCAACCTGTGTTTCAATTTTCAAAGTCCCTCACGGGTGTCCTTGACTTTCTTCCCTTTTCTCTCTCTCTCTCTCTCTCTCTCTCTCTCTCTCTCTTCTCTCTGCCTCGGACTATTGTTACTCTCCTACACACACACACACACACACACACACACACACATATATATATATACATATATCTCCGTCTTTATTTTTCTCCTCTTTTCAGAAGCGGCTTTAATGGCGAACTGCGGGTGGTCCGACGTCGACGCCTCGGACTATTGTTACGACTGCGCAGTCACACCAGGGTCACCGGTCGCTCTCGGTATAACCGATTATACCGAGCTCGCCTGCATTAAGGTAGCAATAATCGTTGCGCGCGCGCCCCAAATCTTGCGACGCATGCGAGAGCGCATTAGGGAGCGCAAGGTAGCTCCAACTTGACACCGCAGACGAGCTAATGCAACAGCTTCTACGTGGACTGTCGCAAAAAGCGGATGTCCATTTCGTGCTAAAATACGTCTTTTTTTCATTTTTTCTACCTATTTCATATATATAATATATATTTTATATACTCTAATCGCTAGATCTCAATTCATCGTAATTTGTTTAAATATTCATGGACTGCATATCATCGATCTCAATCTGTACAAATTTATGCAACAGTTTATGCAACAATATTTTATACAAGGACGTCTGATGAAATTTTCGTGCAATAGATATTTAAATATTTATATCCGTGCGAAATATGGATAAGGCATTTCATTTTCTTTTTAATAACCACTCTGCGCGCATTGTAAAGGTCTTATGGAAGCTCTTATATATAGGGTATTTTCGACAACCCGCCGTGCCACCCACTCCATTCAATGCTAATCCGATTCTTATTATATTATAATGCTCGTTAAATCAGACCGCGCCGATTTAAATCGTCAGGAGCACGTGCTTCCTGCTTAACTGCCCTATAAAAAAAGACGAAAGAGAGAGAGAAGGAGGTGCGTGTATATAACTTAGCGCAAAAATATCAATAAATATAATAAATGGAAATTATATATAATACAATTATATCGTTGTAATATACAAGTTTTATGTTTTATTTTTAGTCAAGCAATTAATATTATTAAAATTGATATTAATATTTTATTACATTAATATTATATATCATTATTATTTATTTAATCTATTATTAATTTTACAATCGTTCAAAATTACAAGTAAAACATATACATGTCTATATCTCATATCCATCTATTATGTGCACAATTATATTTAAAATTACAAGCAAACGATAAAACGTCAATATCCGAGCAATTGTTTTATTTTCATTTGACTGCTAATTAATGGATATGAGCATATTACATTTCCTGAATCGTCATGAGAATAAACACTTATACAAGCTTAAATTATATATGACCCACTTGATATAAAAACGTTATTAGCAAAATTATTGATCAACGAATTGTCAAAAAATGCCACATGATTAGTCTTTTTCTTTCTTTTTTATTCTCTTCTCGTATTTTCTCAAATAATTTTATATGTAATCGTTAGAGAAACATTTTTCCACAATACTCATAAATATCTAAGGGTCATCCCTAAATTATATAAAGCTTTTGGGAGAAAGAAAAATTGAAATAATTCTTACGTAAGATTTTTTAAATATTTCCTCTATTAAGGTAAAAATCTAATAAAAGTGTTTCGCTAAGAATCATAAAAATTTTCATTTTTATTTGTTGATTAATTGTTTTATCAATTGTTTTATAAAGATAAAGAAAATATATTTGATATTTTGGAAAAAATTTACATTGGTGCAAAGAATGTTTTCAAATTTCATATCAATCATAGTTTTAACTAATTCTTTATTTGTATAGAAAGAGTTTAAAAAAATAATTTATTAAAAAATTATAAAAATTATTAAGAAAAATTTGATTAGTAAAATTGTAAAATACGAGAGAGCGAAGTCACAGAAAATCTTACGATCTCTTATCACCAGAAGCATTTGCGTGCAAAAGTAGGTGTAATTTTTTACGAAACAAATAAAATTGAAATTTTTCCTTTTTCTTTCTCTTTCTCTCTCTCTCTCTCTCTCTCTCTCTCTCGCTGCATTTCATTGTCAGACAAATGATACGGGCGGAAGTGTCGAGAGAGGGTGGCGCATCCCCTCGTGAAAATGCTCAAAATTCCCGGCGGTAGGAACGCATTATGGCATTCCGGGCTACATTGTCGTATCAAGCGTGCGCCAAATTGCGCCTACAACGTTGAAATTCCATGAACGATTGACCGGCCGGACTGCAATTTATGCCGATAAAGGTGTGCAAAACTATGACATCCGCGCGTAGCGCATCGTTCCGCGCGACAAATGGCATTCCTGGGCTTTCGCACCCGGGGTCTCTCACAGGACTATAAACCAATACGCAAACAGCGCTCGCTCTCTGCGTTGTCCTTTGGCTTCCCATTCTCATCGGTCTCAATTACATCCGAACTCGCCGATGACTCGGAGACGACTGTCCCATACACAGAGCGTCACAGAAAGCACTAACACAACGATATCAATTGTGTTAGCCCTAAAACGCCACGCCACGCCACTATTAAGCAGGAACTATTTGGTTGGTACATGTGAACAAATTTCGTTTCTTTGTTATTATATTTTTATCAAGATTGAAATTTTTTAATGTTTTTTAATGTGTCAATAAGTACATCAGTTATTTAGAAATAAGAATACAACAACCAAATTTTATTATAATTATTTACAAGAACGTGTAAACGAAAATATATGAAAACCTTTAATTATAATTTAAAAAACACGAAGTTTGAACTTTGAAAAAAAAATACAATTATTTTACTCTAAATTTGAACAGATATAATTATTTGTAAAAGATAAATCTAGAATAATCTTTCACTAAATGTGAAAGAAAAATGTTCATTTATTGAAAACGTTCAAAATAAAATTTAAAAAAATCGAAGCAGTTTTACTTCAGTTTCTTTTCGTTTTCCACGCGATAAAAATAAATGCTTCTTCCACATGTGTTTAAAAATTTAGAATTAAAGATATTAAAAAAGTATAAATACATTTGTTATAAAACAGGATTATTTTGATCTAAAAACATTTGTTTCTGAAAATTCTGAAACAAGTCACAAGTATAAACTATATACTGGGTATACGATATGCGATAATCTTTCACTTGTCACTGAGTCTCTCCTTGACATCAAAAGTAAGAGAAACCTTCACCCTTTTAAGTCGTTTATAACTGCCGACTTTCAGAAAATTTAGAAATGCCAATCTCTTGACAGAAAATACGTGGGTTGTTTAAGAGAGAGCCAACTTTTTCTCAATACTGGGTTAATATATTCGAATAATTTGGTTTATTTTCTTATGCAGTAAGCTTTTTTTAAATTTAAAATTAAATTTTAATTCGTAATTTAATGATAAAAAATTAGTCTTTTAAACTGAACAATCAAATCGTAATTTATAATAACACTTGAATATTTTCAAGAAAAAATTAATGAAAATCAAAAAACATGATTTTGCGAGACAACTTTTAAAAGTTTTGATATCATTCTTATACATATATGTATATGTTCTATATCTTTTTTTAAATATGTATATTCAAAAATTATTTTATTTATGACTTAAGAAATATATTTAGGAAATTATT